TAGTAGCCCTAAGATCTTAATGTTTAATTCAGAAAGGAACATCTTCAGCACGGTATAAACAAGTCTCATGAGCTGTAACAAACGTACTTATCTATAATGTAAAGAATAACAGAGGCTTGTCTGATAACCCAACCGAGGAAACTTTCAATCTAATAAATCTATTGTTTCTGAAATGATTCAGCAAAACTTGAGGTGAATTGTTTTTTTTTTATTAAAGGGCTAACGTGGGTAGTATTCAACTGGGACCCTATTTCCAATGTTTTCTGTCTAAGCAACTATTATGACAATGTTTGTAAAAAAAACAGCCTGCATCGCAATTGGGGCAAATGCAAGCTGTGATTGTACGTCCACTAAAAGTGTATTTTTGTGTCCGACAGAATCACGGAAGGATACCTATAGAGAAATAAAAAATATCTTTACCTTTCACTATATTCATACTGTTTGTTTTTGTGTTTCTAAGGCTCACTCGAGGACAATTCCTTATCATAAATCTAGCGATGGATTCACAACGTAGAAGGCGCTGTTATAATCAACTCTTTCATTGATAATCTTTTAGATATCACTAAGCTACATTTCTCTGCCCTAACACAACAAACTCTGACAACACTGGCACTCGTCTTTCAACATTTCACTCACATTTCTACCATTTTCTTCCGGCAACAAGTCACATGACACAAAAACAAGCATCAGGAAAAACGTCATATAAAACATTTATATATATTTTATTTTTCTCTGTAGGGTATTTTTAATCTCTCTCGCTCTCTCTCTCTCTCTCTCTCCCTCCATTACTCTGTGTTCCTGGTCTTCACAAGTTTGATGAAATATTCATACTTCCCTGACGTAGCCTTGCTCTTTTCCCCTCCCTTCTCTCCACCTCTTTCCCTCCGTCTGGCATTAAAATAGAAAATCACTGTTATCTTCTCTCTCTCCTCATCATGGACCCATCTGTGCATCACCTCCTCTTCCATCATCCTTTCTACCTTCATCTCATTCCACCTCTCTCTGAAGTCTGTTGTCTCTCTCCTGTCTTGTTGTTTTAAGTCCAGCTATGTGAAAGTCATCTGTAATCTGCAGGTTCAATCTGTGCTATCATTGTGCTGGAAATGTTAATGTATAGGGTGGCAGACCAGGTATTATATAAGTTAATGTGATGTACAGCGTCAGTAACGGAACAGCTCAGAGGACCTGATGTACAGCAGAGTGAAACATGCTCAGCTAAGCCTCCTGGGACTCCAGTGATAAATGATAAGTGGGAGAAATTCAATAGAGCAACTTATCTGGGGGTAGAAATAATTCATCATTTCACATTTGGTATGTTTCTCTGTTCGAGTTCTGTAGGTACTCTTTATGGCTCAAAATGAATATAAGTCACGATTCAGCGGAGGCACGTGCCTCTAGCATTCTTGCAGTGACATATCAAGGTCACATTTTCAAATGATGTTTTGGTGTGGGCTTACGATCGTACACAGTTGAATCCTGTTTGCTTTGGTTTCTGCTCAGTCTCCATTTATTTTATGCTGTGTCTGTAACTTTTGCTAAGCAGGGAGGCCTGTTATGAAACGGTACTGGTTTTCAAAGTAGAAAATATTAAGAGAGCGCATACCTCTGCCACAGTCCTTTGAACAGTTTTAAATTGACATTTTTACATGCAGATACATAGTTATTAACAGAGATACATGCTCTAGATTTATATCATTATATTAAGAAATTATTTTTAAAAATCCCTATCAAACAATGTGACCATGTGACATGTTTTTGATTACAACTTTAAAAATCACCATGAGGGAAATGTGCTGACCTTTTGTATGTATTGCATCAAAGAATTAGAGTTAAATAAGAAGACTGATACAAATCTAATGTCCGTAAATAAAGGTAGATTTAGTTGACAAATGATGGGAGCCATCATACAGTAATACATCAATGATAGATTCTCATATAAAAGGTTTAAAACACAACCAGTTAAAGCTAAACAAATGTAAACAGGACCGATCTGAGGTAGTGGAAACTGCAGAATCCTTAATTGGCTCTGAGAGGCTGTTTACCAACGAGCAGCGATCTGATTGGACTAAAACCCCCTACAGAGATATTTTGACTGCAGTGACAACACCTGTACTTTTTTTGCAATCTTTTCTGTTCTAAATATCTTAAGTTCTGTTTAATTCACATGGCATTAAGAAGAAAATGATAGCTCAACGACATCTTTGTTCAACAACAACCCCTTTTGTCAGATAAGTTGAGCGTTGCGACATAGAGCCACGTGTCTTTCTACCTCTTGCTGTAGTTGCTTGTTTTGTCCTTTGGCGCACCATACTGCACATGTTAAAGTCACACATGACAACTATGACTTGTCATCAACAACGACCCACAGTGCTTCATGAGGCATCTGTGCTGTAGATGCATTGCCACTGCTTTATTACTGCGACAAACTAAAACTACTGCTGAACAATGACAATGATTATTTGAATCAGTCAAAAAACTTGAGTGTTTTAAGGTAGAGGAGTAGTTTTATGATGTATGTGCGGCAGTATTTTTTTGGCAGAGGGAATAATGTTGCAGGCCAATCGACATCAACAGATGATGTCGATAACCAATCAACGAGGAACAAGTCGTAACTAGAAATGTTCTCTATCAAGTCGTCACAGTACAGAGCTGTGACACTAGCACCTTTTATACTTCACACAACTGCAGACGTGTTTGATTCTGAACTATATTACCAGAAGAGGAGGAAAGAGTTACTGTGCTCCAGCTGGGAGGAAGTAAATATCATTCCTTGAAAAAGACATTTCATGCCTTAATGTACTTTTTGTGTACTTTAGTTTTTTATGTTTTTTCTAGCGATTGCAATTCCACCAAAATACATTATTATTATTATTATTATTGTGAAATGGTCTGAGTAACTAAGTAATGTCTTGAGTTGTGCGTTTTCTGTGCTGAGGGATAGCATCACATTTAAAATGTTATGGCTTGTAGGAAATGAGATGGAATGAACAAGATGACTAACATGATGACATGATGGACCCGATGCACACAGCCTCCATCTCCGCTTCACATAATTACTTCGGGGAATAGAGTGCAGATATGACTCCATTTCAATCATTTACATTCAATAACGTCACATTGGAGTGTTTGGGTGAAAAGAGGAGAGACATTAGTCTGTGTGTGTGTATGCATGAGCATTTGCGCACACACCTTGCATCTCCACAAGTGTCTGACATAGAGATACTGCAGCCTTGTCTCAGTCTGACACAGAGCCCGCACGACAACACTCTCTGAGCCAATCACAACCTCCAGTTAGGAAGCCAGACCAATCAAGGAAGAGGTAGAATATGAGGTGGAGGGGAAACAACTTAAGAGGAAGCAAGAAACAAAGAGAGAAAGAGAGGGGTTTGCACTCCTAAAGATATGAGGCTTAGAGCTAACAAAACATCTTCAAGTTCTCTCATTGAAACATAATAATTGAAATGCAAATAAAAAACGTTACCCACAATTTATCCCCAATAAAAAGGGATAATAATGATTTCCTGTCAGTTCCATTCTGCTAACTCCATCTTGTAATTGGCTCTCTTCATGTTGACTGTTTGTATTGAACGGTCTGCAATTGTTACTTCCTCGTCTGTTCTGGGGTTTTAGATGTGTGCATGTGCAATATAATGTGTAAATAAACCATTAGCACTGCAGAGTTTTCACATTTAGATTCACGGTGCAGAACAGCAGACATTTCACGTTCCCCCCCGACATATACATGTATTGATTTATTGATATGAAGCCAGAGGTTCAGCATAGCACACGCTGTTGAGGAGATGTTTGTCTCTTTACACGTGTGACTTAAAATAACATGAAGGTGTCTGTATCTGTCTCACACACACACACACACACACACACACACACACACACACACACACACACACACACACACACACACACACACACACACACACACACACACACACACACACACACACACACACACACACACACACACACACACACACACACACACACACACACACACGCAGTGAGGCAGAACTGCTGACAGCAGTCTCTGGATTATCTCTGAGCTTCTCCATCCTTCTTTATGATTCACACAACCATTGCTGTCTCTCTCCGTCCATTTCTCCATCCTCTTTGTCTCCCCTTCTCATTTTGCACCCGACCTCACATAATAATGTTTATTTACATGGCGCGTGTGTGTGTGTGTCTAGGTTCTGTATGTGTGATGTACAGAGGATTGGACTTTCACCCAGCTAGTAAATCTACTTTCTGAGTACTTATCACACCTTCAGATTGATTTTAACCCCTCTATACTGTATATACAACCATACTTGTGAGAAGCCATATATATGCACATAATTATATATGAAATAAAAACAAAAAGAGATGTTCTTAAATTAGAAAAAGCAATCATCTGTTTTTCATGACTTGACTTGGAGTGAGTGAGCGAGTATGATGGGATTCGTCACCCATGAAGTGGCAGCACGGCTGAAGTATGTGTGTCATTGCCATTACTGTCAGGTGCATTAGTCACTCTGTTTACTAGAGGCTGCCCTGGAAAAAGCTTAACCACTGCAACCAGTGGTTAATGAGGTGTGTTCAGTGCACCAGCAACTCTAACTATTATCTAGCATGCAGGGGAACAAAGCCACAGGAGGATATTGATTATCTATTTGACATGCTGCTGAAGCCACAAGGGCAGAATGGGACCAGGATGAAGGGAAACTATTTGAGCCTTTACATCTGGCATGAGCTTTGAAAACATTTTGTGTGAAAATCAGACAATAGAAAAGTGGATGCCCTTGGAAGATGATGGTTTCTTGTAATGATTAGTTTGAAGCAGGTTTGACTTTTATTCTGACAAGATTGGCCCAGTTCCCTGATAGTTATAACATCAAAGTAATGTCAGAGGTTGTATACGAGGGCGGTCTATTTTGAAAGATGCATGTATTGTGTAAGATGTAAGATTTTACACTGATGCCTCTTCTTCTGCTTGTTTTTCCATTTAGGAATTGCTACCACACATGGAGCTTTGTGGTACTACGAGCAGGTACTGAAGTCATTTACAACAACATTGATTATTTTCATTACCCATTCATCTTCAGATTATATTCTAAATTGATATATCTATTGTTTGCTCTATACAACGTAACAAAATTGTGAGGAGAATTTCTTTGATTGTCTCTTTTGCCAGTCCTAAACCCAAGATATTCAGTTTATTGATAAAAAAGCAGACATAAAAGCAGAAAATGTCCATACTAACAGCTATTTCGGACATCTTCTGACTATTTACATAGCTCTGCAAACCTGTCATATTTTTCTTCTAGAGTATTTCTAACAGGAATCTGCTCTTACAATATTTTTGGCTCAATATGTACTGTATACACCAACAACTACCACTCTCTCTGATCTACTAAAGTGTAACTTTGTTGCAATACATGGCTTAAACTTGACTGAAGCATTAGTAAAGTGTTACATAATCATAGTTGTTATTACTTAATGAATAAGAAGTAGTATAAGGGATTTCAGTTCAATGAATGTCCTTTTTTCACAGCAGATGATTTGACTTGTTAAGAAGGAAAAGCAGTTATTACTAATCCATGACTCCATTGATGGCCATTGAGCCAGCATGTACAATACCACGATCCTGAACTGAAGCAGCTAAATGTTATCCAGCCATCATTCATTTATTATTAACACCTGTGCTTTTACTGATGTAACATGTATTTTTAAATAATTAAAAACTATGAATAATCCCATTATCGCTAAAGTCATTTTAAGGTACTGCTTGCTTGTTGTTTACCGTGATGCATTATAAAATATTACTCAAAATGCTGGATGAGTGTTGGTCACTGCAGTCAGAAATGTAACTCCAAAACCTTTTTGTCCTCCAATCCCTGCCAATGTGTTACCTTGAGAGGAGACCAACAGACACAGTGCTTGCCCAGAGATGATTATTATTACAGCAGTGTTCGGTTTCCTGCCTATTGGCAAAAATCAAGGCATTTTATAAAATGGTAATGATCAAAGCCGACCTCAGCGTGGATGTGAGAGTAAGTAAGAGGAACTTCACTCCAAAGACTACATAACAATGATAATGATGGTGCAAATCTGCCATTTCAAGGCTAACAGTAATCATAGATACATTTATTTTAGCTGTGTGCATCTCTCTTGCTCGCACACAGCTGGAAATCAAGACTTTGCGATGTTGCAGTGATTCACATCCTGGTGCCGCTCAGCTCAGTTAATCAGGGACACAATCTGAGGATTTGTGATTGTTTGAATATCTTAGTCAAATCATTTAAAATGCGTCATAATAATTGGGTTTGAACCACGGCCTTCGGCTCTGAAAAGAGAAACCATCCTAAAATATGCCTTACCTGTGATTTGCACTCCTTACACGGCTGTCTAATATGACAGCTTCAACATGTGAGTGAGCAGTGAGAGAATTATATTATACCAGCAAAACAATGAATATCAAAGACGAGTAGAAACAGGCGGTTGTTTTGGTTTATAAATAAAAAAGTAAAGGTGTGGCGGGTGGATATATCTCACTTCATTAATAATGAATACTTTTTGTTTATACTTAAGCACTTGTACTGTAGCACTGAACACTCGCTTAAGTGATTTATATGGCAGGGATGCACATTAAAATATGTATTTCTTCATAGTTTTTTTCTAAAGCTATGATGCATTGCAGCATTAGCAATGCTGACATAATGAATAACAAAGGATCCGGTTTTTGAGAAACCACAAACTGGTTGTCTAAGACGGAGCGGAGGCATGTTTTCAGTTTCCCCCAAAGTTCAAAATCTGCATTTCAGAGCTTGCTTAATTCCTGCATTTCATTACATTTGACCAGACTATGCTTTTTCCGGAGGTGTTGGAAGCTGGGATTCTGTGAAGGGAGGCGGGGTGGGAAGCATTAGTGGAAAGGTCAGTGGGTTGCCATTACTAAAACTGTTGTGTTTCTGCAAAACGCAGCACATCGTGACACACCATCCATTGCCTCTCAGAATAACTGCTCCCTCAGGGATGAAGATCACCCCCCCCCCCCCCAAGTCTTCTTCACACAGTCCTGCTATCAAAGTCCTCTGCTAAAGACGGGCATCAATATGTACGATTGACCGGCGATGTCAAAGAGTGGACGTTACATCAGGGTCACAGCATCCTCTTCATGTTAAATGGTTACTCTTAGAGCCGTGTGTGTGTGTGTGTGTGTGTGTGTGTGTGTGTGTGTGTGTGTGGTGTGTGTGTGTGTGTGTGTGTGTGTGTGTGTGTGTGTGTGTGTGTGTGTGTGTGTGTGGGTGTGTGTGTGTGTGGTGTGTGTGTGTGTGTGTGTGTGTGTGTGTGTGTGTGTGTGTGTGTGTGTGTGTGTGTGTGTGTGTGTGTGTGTGTGTGTGTGTGTGTGTGTGTGTGTGTGTGTGTGTGTGTGTGTGTGTGTGTGTGTGTGTGTGTGTGTGTGTGTGTGTGTGTCAGTCAAGGCCCTTATGAATGTAGGCGATGTTTTCTACCTTTTAAGGGAGGCGAAGAGAGCAATTAGGGCAGGGTTCAAATGTACAACACTGTGAGAGGACACGTGTAAACATGTTTCCTTTTCTAATCTCTAACAGCTCCTTCATTTTAACTGTGAGGAAGAAGTTCACTTAACATGGCATCAACAAATAACCACATCATGTGAGTGCATCCTGTTAGCCGTACTTTAACCTGTGCTATCTTCAGGTCCAGAACATCTACCTACCTGCCTTTTTTAAATCGAATGCAAGCAAAGCCTCCTGTTGTTTATTAGGGTGATTTTTGTTCAGCGGAAGGAAGAGTTAGAAAAGAGAAGCTTTGATTAATCCATAAGCTTTAAATATGCTCTGATATAATAGTTGACGCATGTGGGTATTAGTGGAGTAAGATTAACTGCTATGATCAAATATTAGATAATGCTTTATAAATAAGCTGCCAACATGGAAAGTCCCCCGTATGACGAAGCACAGTGAGTCCGAGGCACATAATGTTCCTGTTAATTGCACTGCTTGTTCTGGGTGCAGACATTGTTCCTTGAGAGCATGAAGATAATTCTCTATAAAACTCACTACTTAAACCCCACTGAAAAAACTATCACCATTTTTTCCAATTAAAACATTGTAAGAAGTCATTATTTTACACCAACAAGGGACCCTGAGAGCAATACAAAGGTTTTAAAAACATTCTAATACAACTCTGTGTATGTGAAAATCACATTGTGAGAAAACCTGTCTCTTGTTCTGAGCCCATGAGATTAAAAAAGGGGCGAATGTTAGAGATAGTAGATAGTAGAGGTCAAACCTAACGATGCCTGGAAGAACAGGAGATGTTCCTCCACACACTCAGATGATCACTTAATGAAGCGTGTCATTGGTTATCGGATGGTCATGCAGCAACGAGGAGGTTAGAGGTGGGGAGAGACGGGATGGAGAGGGAGGACAGAAGAATGTAAGGAGACAAGATGGAGACCAGGGCATGCTATGTATTATTCAACATGATGTCAAGTAGGTCAGCCTCAGAGTAAAACCCAATGAGCAGGAGTCCCATAAACACAATCTCAGAATGTGACTACATTATTTATACATATTGCCTTGAGAAAATGTGCTAGAATAGGCAATAAAGTCATCAGACGACGCACCGAGCTGTAAAATGCTCACGCAGTACCAGCATGTTTAAAAGTTTCAACCTACACTCAGTGACGTGGAAAGAGAATATGGTAATTGTGCATCACTGAGGGGATTCATGAAACATGTGTTCCATAATGGTGCAGCTCAACTCGCAGCTCAGCTCCCCAGTAAAGATGTCCAGGTCACACTACATAAACTGCATCCATGTGCCAGATGTTGGTGCAAAAACATCCCAGAATTCAATGTGTATCAGATGAGGATTAGCTGATTATCTTTTATCATTCTTTTCTTATTCTTTTCTGAGAAGAGGAACATTTGGAGTTAGAACTTATGAATTTTAGTACATCAAAAGTAAAGTAATCATAGCGAATAAGAACGTTTTGTTATTAAGATTTGATTGTGTACTGTTACTTTAAGAGCTCTGTCCCTGGTGTATCTTCTACAGTTACTGTCACATTGTTTTCTCAACTTGTCCTGTCATGTTTTTGTTTAATATCGTAAATAAATCTCTGTGAACTAAACCTACTTGTGACACATGTGGAATAAAAGTTGTTTGTATTTTTCCGACTCTAGATCAGACAGACACATGTGGGCCGTGACAAATTACAAAGTGAATATTTTTGTGTAACAAACCACTGAAGGGAATACATAGTAGTACAGTGTTTTTAAGCTGTGTTTTGTTCAGTATTGTATCTGTATTTTGACAACTATTTTTAATAATAGCTGTGATGCTCTACATTACTGACGTTCAACATATTTACCATATTCACAATTCCTATTGTTATTACCAACTAGTGCACCTGGTGGATGATTGTTATGTCATTGGTTGGGAGAGTGCTTGCTCCAAAAGGACATTTTGAGGGAGAGAGCTTTTGACAGTCATAACAATGTATCACCTTGGATCATCAAAGTTAGCACAACACTTGATAGTCAATTGAAAATGTGTTGGCGTTAAACATTTTTTATTAGGATCAAAGTGGCAGGCCTTACTAATAGCAATGTGAAGGCTAACACTTAATAACAAGGTAGAAGAGGATCAATAATTGCTTTTCTTCTACACAAAATGATGTATTTTATCTTATCTGCCATTTTAATTCTGAATTTGTAACCTCTTTAGGCCTAATTTCCCCCGTTTCATCCACTGAACATCGGTCACAAGTCAACATTTCTTATTTTAACTCCATAAAGCTCTAGATGTCGGGAACCAAGATGTAAGTGTGCCGCGGCAGAGCTGGAGAAGCTAACCGTGTCAGACGGGAACCAGCAGTGATGTGACTCACCCGTACTGAGCATCAAACTCCATGGCTGAAATAAGACTGGTCCTGACTGTACATCATTAAAATGTACAACAGCAACAAACACTGATAATATGCAAACTGACTCTTGTGGGTCAGATAGGATGTGAAGGGACTGTGGACTAAAGCAGGAGGCCTGTGCATAAATATTGTACAAGAATAATTCATACAAACACAAACATTTACATACCATTAGAGTATGCTGTCATTTCAACACCACTGTCCACTCATTACACTTGCAGTTCCTCCTATAGTAGTGCGGAGCTGCAGGCAGACGCCAATGGCATGAATATTGACAAGGGAATATGCTACTGTACAAGTCATAATTATGGAAACCGGATAAAAGATGTGAATATGGAAATGGAAAACAATGCAAATATGTCATTGTATACGAATTAAAGGAATTCTGCGCTCCAGTTTGAAGGACAAATTAATTCAAGTGTAAGTGCGAAATGAATGCAGGCGTGAACGAGAACAAGCATGTTTTTATGCAGGAAAAAGAGAACGAGATTCCCAGTCGCACATTTGCATACTGGTTAAAGCTGAAAGATAGCCTCTGTACTTCTCTAAGTTGGAAGTTGGAAGAATCAAAGAGTTGACTTATGCAACAGTGCATGTTCTGAACAATAATATTTCTATAATATCCATCTCTTAATAGTTCCCTGCTCTGTCTCTATTACAGCACTCGCTCATGCCAGACTGCTGTCACACTGTCGATGGTGGGCTCATCTTTCATAAAATATTTTGATTTTATTGGT